CACAGCTCACAGTCTCTGCTGTCTCAACCTCCATAAGTGGGGAGACCCAGATTTGGGGACGCTGAGAAAATTCTGCCAAGAAATGAGGAAAAGGAAAGAAAGGAGGAAACCCATGGTAAATCATGTCACATAGGACCCCACGATGTAGGAAGGGAGGAGGGCAACAAGCCCTCTGTCCCCCAGGGTGAGTTTAAAGCCCAAGATGAGGTGAAGCTCAGTTACCCTCACACCCTCATCCTAAACCCCGTGGGAACTTAGTGCTCAAGGCCAAGGTAAGATGAAGACAATGAGCCTCAGGATTCCTTCCACACCTGAGCTCCAACTCACCAAAAATCTGGAGCAGCTTGCTGGCTGAGCTGGAGTGAAAGAGCCCACCACCATGGGACCTCAGGTCCAGTTCTGCATGGCAGGAGAAATTGCACCTGTGGTCCTCCCTTTGTGCTTTGGCAATGATGGTGACCTCAGCTCTCTGGGAGGCCACAGCCAAACTCATAAAGGTCTTTCTATGTAGTTCTTGGTTGCCCTGGAGAAGGGTCAGGGTGAGGTTCTCCAGGGGTGCTACCCTGGGCACATGGCACTTCACTGTAAAGACTTCGTCCAAGGCCACCCACGCAGGCAGCAACTCCAGGATCACCTGCTCCGGTGGCTCTTTAAGACAAAAATGCAGGTTTGATGAGAGAAGGCTACTCACCTCTCCAGAAAGAAATGGTATAGGACAGGCAGCCTGTGCTAGAAGGTGACTGCTACCATTAAACCACCTGATCAACAGTGTCAGACGGGACAAGTTAGCCTTTGGCTCTTCTTCTGCCCATGAAAGGTGGCTACGGCCATAACCAAGAACTGGGATGCAGAGGGGTGCCTTGCTTTGATGGTTGCTGCCATTCGGAGAGCTTTTATCTCTTACCAGAGTGCTTCAGAGGTGTGAGCAGCTTCTGAGGAGCTCCTCAGCATCACACAAAAACTACACCCAAGTTAACCATGCTCTTACCCCCACAGTGAGCACACTTATTCTTAAAGCCATATCTTTGCCAATACTATCTGCCCACCTGAAAGACCCTTCTCACCACCCCCATCACTTCCGATCCTAACCAGTCTGCAGGAGTGAAGCTCAAGAGTCCCCTCTCCCATGAACACTTCTCCAACCCAGCCCACAGAGACACTCCATCTCCAACCCCTATTTACT